CGATCAAATTATTATCATTTAAACCTTTACATTTAAAGCGTGTTTTTCATTGACCATTTTCGATATCATTAACCAACCCGCCTATACTACCTAAAATCGTTAATTTACCAAGTACACGTTATCTTTATTTCGCGGAAAATGTATAGGTTTAAATATATACATTTAAACATTAAGCTAATTCTACACGCGATGTTCATTATATTATTAAAGAATTACTTTACTTTTCGCATTTATTGACCTCATTTATTTTTCTAACTACATGTGTACATTTAATTATAATTATACATTTTTTTTTACTATATTTAATTATTGCGTATTTTTTTCAGGGTGGACGTAAATGGATTTTTAGATGGAAAATTATCGATTAATTAAATTAATACGTATTCATTTGTATAATTTATAGATGTTTATAATAAATAAACACGAAGATATTTACTGAACAAATGGCAGAAAACTTGTTAGCCATCGAGAGAAAACATTTCAGTTGTATCAATAGTAAGAAGTATAAGATTGAGAACACATCTATTACTATTACTACATATACTAGAAATTCTTGATTCTTTTGTTAACTGGAATAAACCAACTGTTGGATGGGTTGACAATGTCAATAGTGATGATATGTTATGTAGTTTCGCGCTGACGCTGCGAATTATTAGTTTAGCATTCCATTACGTCAAAAGGTGTTTTTTTTTTTGTATGATATGAACAAATATTTTACTGATTCAATATGCTGCGATATTCAAATTTATTCATGAGAAATTTGTCTTGAACTTGATTTTTATAAATTTCTTCTTTATCTTTAGTTGATAACTTTGATACACATATTTTTATATATTTTTGTAGTTATATAACTTTATAAATTTTTCTTTAAATTTATTGTATAAAAAATTTGGCTGGTATTTTTAATTAATTTTTTTATTATTATTATTTAATAAAATCAATAATATAATTCCGAAATTAACAGACATTTGATAAATCTTATAATTTTTTATTAAATCATATATTATGACAAAAGAAAAAAATTTTACAGATCAAAATTAAAAAAAAACTATGAATGCAAATTTTTTAAAAAGAATTCTCAGAACAAATTTATATATGAAATAAAACTAAAAATCGTGAGATGTCTGCTGATTTTAGAATCATTCAATAATCTATATTAATCATTTTTGTGTTGAAAAAATGAATTTTTGTATGAATAAATTTTTAAATATTATCAATACCATCTGCAATGGATTTTGCCAGTACTAATAATATAAAGATAAATATCGCAATGTTGTGAGAAAGTCATAAATATTCTTACACGTATAAAAAATACCCGATCTAATACGATTATGCAAATTAATTCAAGAAATTGATATATTATATTTTTGTATGCCTTTAAAATTTAGTCAGCGTATCTAATCAACTGTTCGTCTGAATTGTTTCTGGAAAAACCCATTAGTGTCTGAAGAAAAACATAAAAACACCAGAAATCTTCAAAAGGAAGTATATACAATATATTTAAATAATTACTGACAATAATTCCTTTCATATTCGAGAAATTCAAGGTTCTTAATGCTAAATATCTGGTAAATATTTTAACAATATTTTTCTCAGAATTTAAATTAGGAAATCTTTAATAACAGCATTGTGGATATAATTATAATGAAGATGATGATGACGTATGTTTTTATCGTAAGAAACCCGCGGACGTCAGAGCTAATGCACGCGCATTATTTAAAATCCTCAATATAATATTTATATCAAGCTTGTAGTTTTTCTTGTGAGTTTCTGAGTAGAAAGAGAAAGTGATTTTGGTACATTATTAATGAAGTAAGTTATTTATTAATATCGGATAACAATAATTCTTTAAGATTGTTTAAATGCAAAAATTTAAATGACATTCGACGGACTGAAAGCTTTTTAATTTTTTTTTTTTAATTTGTTTAAAGTCGCATAAACTACTAAGGTCATGAGCGACTACGGTAGGGGGTAAACTTTTGAGATTGGAACTCGTTTGTATTTCTTGGGCTGAGCAGAATAATACACTTAAATATTGAAAATATTCATTGGTGTACGCCGGACTCGAACCCGGTCCAATGCTTTGGTAGCAAGGGTCAGATCCGATAGGCTACTGCGCGCCTAGCTTTTTAATTGTTTAAACAATAATTTAAAAGAAATATTACAAATATTTGAGTATAAAAATTATAATAGTTAAATACGGACTTAGTAAGAAATATGAATATTGAATATATTTGAATGTATTTAAGAGTGGTCGCGATCACGACTAGAAAGTAGATAAAAGAAATTTCATTTTTATTTTTTTTATTCAAAGACTGAGATTTCTCATAAGCGTAACTCGAGTTTTCTACCATATTCTGTTATAAATAAGTTTAACTAGAGTGTTTTTTTTTTTATTTGCTTAGTTTTTTTTGTTATTTACAGGCTGATAGTAATTGCAACTCTCACGTCGCTATTTCTCGTGTCAGTGTATTTTTAATCCACTGTTCAATGATTTTTATTTTTCAACTGTCTATAATTTTATTTGCAAGATAAAAGTCCATTGAATTATTTACAGTAAATAAAAAACAACATTTGTCGGTGGTTTCTTCTTTCAAACCGGCATAAATATGTATTCCAAAGTCCAAGTAAGCCTGTAATTTTTTTAACAATCAGTGACATCATTATTCTAAACAACAATCTGCATAAAATCTAAGTAATAGCAAATAAAAAAATTGTTAATATTTTTCAAGTTGAATTTCAAATTTGTATTAAGGGGGATAGCCACTGTGAGGATCAAAAAAATAGGTGATTTTCGGAATTTTTTTTGACTGGGATAATAAAAGAATTTGGGGATCGGGTTTCTTTTGTTTTGTAAAGTATAAATTGTAGATCATTCTCCTAAATTTTGATTAAAAAATATCATGTTGTTACAAAGTTATAAGCATTTCGGTGGAGCACCAAAAAAATTTCCCCCACCACGGTCTCATCTTTAACTCAAAAACGGATTATCTGAAACAAAAAAACCAAACCGCGTTGTAATCTGTATGCATGTGGTTATCATTCCACGTAGGGGATTTTGAAAAAAAAAAAAAAAAGGCGACACATTCTCATTTTTTTGAATTCTAATAGCCCTAAAAAATCTTAAAAATCCAAATTTTCAAAATCCCCTACGTGCAACTTTAGCTACTAAATAGACGAATACGAGAAAAAATAATATGCAAATTACAGCGACCAGTTCAAAAAAAGTACACTGAAAAAGAAATTAACTTAATTCGAGAGGAAAATCCTTGAACCAAGAAAATAATTTTGAAGAGGATAATTGTCTTGAATCAAGACGAAAAATTCTTGAATCAAGTAAAATTTACTCAAACCAAGTAAAAATTTCTCAGTTTGAAAATTTTTTTAGTCAAATCAAGAAGATGAAGTTTTTCCAAATTATATACTTGATTCAATAACATTTTTTTTTTTTGTGTAGTTTCGAGAAAAACGCGTTTTCATCGGAGCGCCGCGCGTACAACGGTCATTTGACGCGCTGTCACAAAAATGACTTTAACTCGAAAAATATTCGTAATTTTCATATGAAACTTTAAATACATATTTTTGAATATATAAACTTTGATTTAATAAAAAAAAAATTTTTTTTTTTTAATTTCATAGTGGCTATTCCTCTTAAAAAGAAATCAAGTGATAGTCCAATTTTTCATCTTGTAATTGTCTAAAAACTTTGAATAAATCTTCAATCACTTTATTTATTAAAAATATATAAATTACTATTCTCAATATCATCAATCCCATCAACTTAAATAATAATCACAACCTAATAGCAATCTCCTTCAATTGCTTATAAATATACAAAAAGATAATGACATATGTTTTCCATTGCAAATTAATAATGCAATTATTCCTTTGATTTACAAATTACTTTCTTGCCGCTATTAATTTTTTCAGCCTTCGGGCAATCTGTCACATGATTGATTTTTTCTTTCAGAGTTCGTATCGTGCAAGGCATCTAAAAATAAAATTAATTCAATTAAAACATTTTATTAAAAAGATACCCAACATTTGTTTAACTTATTTTTATTAAGCAAATTATGATACTAAAATGAAGAAACATCTGTGAATTTCTGATTTTTATTTCAGATGCCTGTTAATATTTCAGTATCATAATAACTTATTTAAATTAAAATTCTTACAATTGATGAAAAACGTCAAAAAATTGTCTAAGGTCTAGTTTGATTCTGAAAGTAGCAAAAATTAAAAAATTATTTTTTAAAAAATAAATATATTAAAAAAAAAATTTATATTTTAATTAATAATTTACTTAAATTTTTTTATATTAAAAATGTGTGTATTTAAAACAATTACATTAAAATTAAAAATAATAATAATTTTAAATAAAAAACTAAAGCAAATGAGAATCACTGGTAACCTAGCAACTTTATCGGCAGGAGTAGCGTTTTATACATATATATTAATACACCTGTATATATTTGTTAATATCTGTGTTGGTTACCATTTTCATCTTTACTTCTTTCCACTCGCAACTTTGATTCCTTCTAGTACAGCATTGGTGTGTATTATTTTTCGTGATCCCCTCACGTTTGCTTCTTCATTTTAAAAAGTTGTTTCCAATCCTGTCTCGTGTCTTTCATTTCTGGTGTCAAGCATACAGTGACAGCGCTTGCATGGTATGATGGTAAACGTTTAAATTTATTTGTATATTAGACACATTCACGTAAATACATATACATTCACGTATACATAAGCAGGTAATCATAAAGACGTGTCGTAGATTGCTATTCTGTAGTTATCAATATACATTGCAACAGTTAACTTCAATATATTGTAAACAAATAATAATTGCATTGGTTTCGTTGTATGTATGTTATATACTCACAGTGTATTCAATTATTTAAATTAAAGTTATTTTTTTTCAAAGTCATTTGAATTAATTTGTGATTGTTTATTCTAGATTCTAGATTCTTGAAAGTGAAAATTTATAAAACCAGAAAGTCAAAATGGGATCTAAAGTTGCGGAATTTTACAATGGAAAAAACATATTTATAACTGGAGCTACCGGCTTCTTGGGTAGCTGTTTGATAGAAAAATTACTGCGCTCTACGGATATTAATAATATTTACGTCCTGATAAGACCGAAAAAAGGTAAACAAATAAATGAACGTCTTGAAGAACTCACCAAAAACTCGGTAATTATTTTTTTTTATTACATTATATGTTACATATAAATATATAATGTGTACTTTATTTAGCAAAATTATTAATTTTGGGGTTATGTTAATTGCAGGTCTATGACCGACTTCGTGAGGAAAAAAAGACAGATTTATTTAAAAAGCTGATCGCGGTTGCTGGCGATGTTGGTGAGGAAAACTTGGGACTTTCTACTGAGGACAGGTTCACTCTTGTAGAAGAGGTCCAGGTTATTTTCCATTCGGCTGCTACTTTGGACTTTGAAGCGAGTTTAAAGTCTGCGGTTGATATAAACCTTCTGGGGACTCGCCGGGTCGTGGAGCTAAGCCAAGAAATTAGAAATCTCAAGGTAAGCGAGAAAGAATTTCTCTTTTTTATTTTATTGTCTTTTTATTACTTGTAAATTTAATAATAAATTTTAATTCAATAATTTTAGTTACTCAATCGCTTATCAGTGGAATTTATTTTCGTAATTTTATTGTTTTGATTTTAATCCTCATTTTTAATCATTTTATTTTAAATATTTTTTTTATTAAAATAAGAATTCAATTAATATTACATATTTATTTTTTATTTATAGGCATTGGTACACGTCTCAAGTGCATTTGTAAACTCATTTCTCCTGGAAACAAAAGAGCAAGTCTACCCACCACCAGCAGACGTAAACGAAGTCTTGAAAATCGTCCAGGAACTTGATGAGGAAGCTCTAGCTCAAACAGCACCAAAGCTTCTAAAAAATCATCCAAATGCTTATACATTTACAAAACATTTCGCGGAACACGAAATCGTCAATGGAAAGCTACCAGCAGCAATTGTTAGACCTTCGATGAGTAAGTACTTTTAATTAAGCAGATTAAGGTATTAATTATCGAGTATAAAACCAATTAATATCTTCTAAAATAGTCGTAGGAGCTTGGAAAGAGCCGATACCTGGATGGACGACTTCCAAAAACGGACCACAAGGTTTTTTGATGGGAGCTAGCAGAGGAGTTGTAAGACGTTTACCAGTCGCTAAAGATCTGATCTACGACTACATTCCCGTCGACATTGTAGTAAACTCTCTTATAGTCGCTGGTTATGTTGTGGGCTCCAATGCGTGAGTATTTATTTTATCTTCAATGAGATTTATACAATTCCTGGTTTAACAACTGATGGAGTTGATATTAATATCTTACTATATTACATAATTATAATTATGCTTTTCAGCGAAAAAGTGATCAAAGTGTACCACTGTACATCCAGTACCTGCAATCCCTTTAAGTGGGAGTTAATTGAAACGAAAATTAATAGTTATTTACACAAGTATCCATTGAAGGGTGCTGTTTGGTATCCACACCTGAAGCTTCTGCCTTCGTTATGGTTCTACCGACTCTCTGCTATTTTTGTTCATTTCATTCCGGCTTATATTTTAGACACTGTCACTCGTATAAGTGGCGGTAGACCCATGTAATTTCAACTATCATTTTTTTTTATTGTAAAATCATCTTGCAATTTATATAATTATAATTATTTGTTTGCTGTTTAGTCTGGTTCGTTTACACACAAACGTCAACAATTCATTGGATCGTCTGGAGAGATTCATATTTACTGAGTGGAAGTATCATAATCCAAAATTGCTTGCATTACACGAGTCTTTGAGCGCTGATGATAAAGAAATGTTTGGAATCGATGTTAGGCCGCTCGACTGGGAAGACTTTTTCATTAATCTCACTCAAGGTGTTAGAGTTTACTTGAGCAAAGAGCCCATGAAAAATATTGAAAAGGCTCGTTCCAAAAACAATATGTAAGTTTTTTTCTCCGTATCAATATTTTCAATATTACGGCTGTCTAATTTTAAAACACAGTAACTGCAAAATTTTTTATACCTGATTTTTTGGAACAAAGTTCCTTACGGCAGGCTTGGAGGGGATAGGGATTTTGCTGCGTGACCGAACTGAAAAAAATGTGATAGTAAAACCGTAAGAAAAATGCGTGGAATAAAACCGTTAAATGAGACGTGCGCAGGCGCGATAGTCGCATACACGGACGAGTAGTGTATAATATCTTTCTCTTTCTCCCTCTTTCTTTTCGTTCTCTCATCCCTTCTCTTTCTATTACCACTCCACCCCGCCGATGCATAGTATATACACGGAGAGAATTTTATGGTAAATACTATCATCTGAGTATTGTAAAAAGCTCTAAAATACTTCGATAGTGACGAATACTACCTTTTATTATTATAAATACGATATAAATTATTACAGTTACCACCAATATGGTAATTTTTACCATCTTTTATATTACTATAAGATTGTATTTTCAACTATCTAAGATAATTTGATTAAATATCTTGATAATAATTTTTAAAATCAAATTAATAATTTCTACAATCTTTGATGATAATTATTACCATCAGAGTTTATATTTTATCAAATTGATATTTATATTAAATAAAAGTAATTTCTAATATTATTTAGAGTGAAAAAAA